CCTCCTCCTCCTCCTCTTAATAATTATTCGTCTCAGCGCCCCCGTGAACTTCTCTTCACTGTTCTACTTTAACCTTTAACTAAAATATTATGAGTTTTTGAACTGGCAAAGCTGTAAAAAGTGAACAAGGTACTCCTTGAGCAAAAAATAGGATTTGTTTATTCAAAATTTATTGTTAAAGTCATTCGAATTCTATGATTTCAAAATATACATTGGGTGGCATACACGCCAGATATCGAAATAACAAGACTATAGTAATGTGTATCAGTTTGCTCGTTAAACTATAGCTTGTCTGTCTGTCAGTCAGTCTGTCAGTCTGTCAGTCAGTCTGTCTGTCTGTCTGTCCGTCTGTTTGTTACATTAATGATCAAGTCAACTTTATTTTCGAGAGCTATTGGAAAGGACAATCACATTCGTCAAGAGACGAGACCCAAACATGCAGCCGGCGAACATGAAGAGGAAAAGGAGGAGGAGGGGGAGGAGGAGGAGGAGGAGGAGGAAGGGGGAGGAGGAGTTCGAGGGTTCAGTCACTTGTCAAATGGTAAGTAGTGCTACTAAGTGCGTTGGGAGATTACGACCTTTGACTTTAACTACGTCCCTGGAAACACCGTCTTGTCCCGTCCTGTCGCTCTGCCTTCAGACACAATAATTATTAGAAATATTAGTTGTCCCACTTCATCAGTCATCTTTGTGCAGCCTTTCTCGCCCGCAATTCATGTTGTCTGAACAAACTTCCACGTCCACAATCTGAGGAAACTTCCATTTTAGGAATCCTTATTTATTTTTATTTTTTTAGCAGACTTTGGCTCATCATTTGCTTTCTGAGCAAACTTCCATTTTAGCATTCCTCGCGGCCAGAACAAACTTCTATTTTTAACATCCCTCGTCGTCTGAGCAAATTTCTGTTTTAGCGATCGTGGTTCTTTGAGCATGCTCCCACTTCAACAATCTTCGCTGTTTGAGCAGACTTCCATTTCTAAATTCCACGTTGTCTGTGTAGACTTCCATTTCTTTGCAATCCACGTTCTTTGAGCGGACTATCCACGGGCTATGAGCAGACATCCACTTCAACATTCCTCGTTGTCTGAGCAGACTTCCACCTCAGAGCTGGCAGCTTTGCCTGTGCACGGACGGCCTTGACCGCAGACGTTTGCCCGGAACCTTTGACCCACGCCACAACTCACGCTGCACGCGCTCCAGCTGCCCCAGGAGAAGGCCTCTGAGGGGACAGAAGGGGGTGTTGTTGTTGTTGGTGTTGTTGTTGTTGTTGTTGTTGAGGCGTTGATGATGATGTTGTTGTTGTTGTTGTTGGTGGTGATGTTGTTGTTGTTGTTGTTGTTGTTACTGTTGCTGTTGTTGTTGTTGTTGTTGTTGTTGTTGTTGTTGTTGTTGTTGTTGAGGCGTTGATGATGATGATGTTGTTGTTGTTGTTGTTGTTGTTGTTGGTGATGTTGTTGTTGTTGTTGTTGTTGTTA